CCCCCCCCCCATCTCTCCCCCTTCGTCTATGTCTGTCTGTCTCTCTCTATCATCGTCACGACTCGGGAGTGCAGCGTGTTGTCTCCCAAGTCGCGTACACTCCAATGTTTGTAGCACAGCAAGAGCCTGCTCATGTCGTTCAACCGGGGGCCGAGGGACAAATGGTCTCAGAGTCGAAGGAGTCAAATGTCCTTGTGGGCCAAGTGCTGCCCTGCGCCTGACTCGACGTCCTCCTCCGTCAGACCCATCCGCCATCCGTACATCTAGTCTATAATCGGAGTCGCCCTCGTCGTCGGGCCCCGTTGACTCGCCTGTCGGGATGTCTTAGTTGTCATGGTGCAGTATAGTGAAAGCACCACGTTTCTTCTCCACAGGCTCTGCCCCCTCGACGCGATTGCGTCGATCGTCTACTGCAGTGTCAGAGCCGTCACGACCTCGTGTCGATTTGCGTAAAGTTTCTTCTATAGATGGCTGTCCGTCCTCCGGTCCACCAGCATGTGCAGCAATCTCCTGCCGGGCAGCGTGCCCATGCAAAGAGTCCCTGGATGCGGCGTTATGACGACTCAGATGCAGTGAAGATCCCTTGGGTTGGCCTTGTTTCTTGCTCGTGACATACTGGCCTTCCATACTCTAGTGAAAACAATATCCGACGTCTTCGTCTTCAACCGTCTGCCATGCTGGTCCGCGTACTCACGCATTGCACCATGGCGATGACTGTCGACAACCCCAATGGAGCGCGTCCCGAGGGGCACATCTGTCAGAGCGCATGCGCTTCTCCATGTCGTAGTTGCACCGTCTGTTGCTCCTGCTCTCCCCCGATCGTAAAATGAGGATGTCGGCAACACAGGAGTAGGCGGAGCAGAATGGTTGCGCGTGGTGGGCCTGTCATCAGTGCGCCGAGCAGCCGACGAAGCTGCTGGAACGTCCTTTGCAGGCTGTGCATGGCCCGCACTGCTCTAAAGTCCTCCCGATCGACCCTCTCCACCCGGCGTATGCGATGCTGCTCCCGCAGGCGGATCCCTTCTCAGTCCAACAAATGACGCACCCTGTCGCACGCCACTATGAGAAGAGACTCCGTCCAGAGAGACTGTGAGGCTGCGTTGTACGGAGCTCCACCCGTCCTCGTGTGCGACAGACAGTCATGGTGGGTCGTAGTCTCGGTCAGGCCGAGAGCGACCTCGTGGGGTTTCCCCACCCGAAATACGGTTGGGGTCATGGAGTGTATTGGAGGAAGTATCGTGTCTCTGTTGAACTCGTCAAACCCTCTGTCTCCTGCGTCGCGGGTGGGCCCACCATCAAGGTAAGGAGGAGGTATGCGTAGCAACAGTGGTGAAATCAATGTGTTTCCACCAAACTCGTCATCCCCTCTCTCTCCTCCGTCATGGATGTCGTCTAGCACCGAATCCATGGCGAGCATGTTGCATGTGCGAGGAAGACTCTGGGGGGGGCACGTGAGGCCGATATCCCCTCCTCCTGTATCACGGGTGGTCCCACCGTCGAGGGGAGGGGGCTGCACGTGCGGCAGTGTCTGCGATATAAGCGTGCGGATGTCGGGGATGTTGTCGAGCGCGGAGCCTATGGAGAGCAGGTCGCCAGTCCGACGACGACTCCCGGTGGGGCAAACATCCTCGTTTCTTGTGCGTGTCGTCACTGGGGTGATCTCGCCATCTTCCAAACGGAGAATGACTTTGTGGGAAACCACGTCGGTGGACGTACGTCCGGACGGTCCCTGAACGGGCCCTGTGACATCTGTGGCTGGAGGTCCACTCGCCTGCGCGGCTTGCGGATCTGCGTCTGTCATCGTCGTAGTTCCACATCCAAATGACATCGCCTCCATCACCTTCATCTCGACGTCGGGCTCGCCCACGCCACCACAGAGCAACGGACTGCGTGAAAGTGGGAGAGTGCCTCCGTCTACAGTGTGGATTGTCAGACCTGTCTCCTCCCCTGCGCCACGTACTGCAGGCTTCTCGTCCACTGCTCCATCATGAACCGAAATTGTCTTTTGTGCTACGTTGCCAAGTGACGGGTGTTGCTCCTCGCTCGGCCCATCACTTATGGAGTCCTCGGAGACATGGACAAGCGGCGCCGCCGCAGCTCGTGGAGGAACAATGGGGCGAAGGGCACCATTGTGTCGACGCACGAGATCGCCAATAAAACTCATCTTCATAGGCCCGCGTTGCAAGCGTCAGAGCTCAGCTCCCGGGCCATGCGGGGGATTGTCGTCGTCATCGCCACGCCTCTCCTCAAGCGCTGCTCCAAGGTCCTCGAAATGTGGATCTCCGCCAGACTCAACACGGTCTCCTCCTCCACCGTCACCAGATGCCTCTCGCGGTGCCACAACTCCTCCCCCCCCACCTCCTCTCAACGATCGATGGCCACACCGGTCGTCCGCTCCATCATCGTCGTCGTCGTCATCACGACGATCGTCCCCTGGCCTGCCGTCGTCGTCCCGTGCTGACGGTGTGGCGGTACAGAAGAAATCCTCCTCGTCACCAGAGGAGCTATGATATAAAAAATCTCCCTCGTCCCAATATTGTTGAGGGAAACGAACACAGTCGACCGCCGCCCTATCACGGCCCGCAGAATGCGCACCACAAGGACATATCCCGACCGCGGAACCCCGTCCACGTTCCCCTCGCCCACCTCGTCCATGACCCGAACGCCCACCGCGCCCGCCACGAGCCCGCACCCGTCCACGTCGTCTCTTGTCCGATTGGACAAGGCGGCGCTTGGAGCCCATGGGAGAAATGTTGCGTATGCGCTCCCTCGCCACACGCATCTCCTCCTGTGTGGCTGCCAATCTCGCTCCGCTCCCCTCGACGAGCTGCTAGTCGGTGGGCAACTCGTCCTCCAAATGCTGCCAATAGTGTACCACTTCTCAAATGTGTCGGGCCTGTCGTAAGGAGCGTCGTCAGACAAAGATGGGCGGTCAAGGAGACAGAGGTTATAGTGGCACCGTACGAGCTTCTCAACCCGTTCAACCTTCAACCTGTTGCGAGTCTTGGAGTGGATGAAACTCCAATGCGACCAACCTCTCTCACAGGGCGACTCTGTCGTCCAAATTCGCAGAATCCTCATGGCGAAGTATGCGGTGTGTGGAAACCTGCGCAATTTGGACTCCCAGAAACTGGACGGGTGCTCGTAGCTCATCATGGCTCTATCCATGGTCGCGCTTTCGAAAGGCTTCTCCCTGGCATGAAACTTGTCGATCGCAGTGAGTACCTCCTTGTGTTGTGGAGATCCCTCAGGGTAGCCGAACTGAACCCAAGGGGTTTTCAACCCCTCCTGCATCACGTCGTCATCTGCAAGGGTGGGATCCCGAAACTCGGGATCCAGCATCATGGTTGCTATGTGGGCCAAAGTACGGAATATGGTGCGCCGCCTGTCGAAAACCTCGAGGATCTCATCCTGCTTGGTCGTGCTGAGAGAGCCGCACGCGGCAAAACAGGATGCGATCATAATCTCGTACCGACACAGAACCTTGCTGATCTGTCGTGTGTCACTGTCTCGCATCTGCAGCATCTCCATCACAGGGTCCATAATCCACAACAATCCCTTGAAATCCTCCCACCATGGAGGGCATGCAGTGATCTCAGCGGCGTCCTACCCGATCTTCCGCGTGGACCAAACGGTGTCGCGCCACGGGTCCTCGGTGACGACGTACATGAGATGGGTTTTTAACTCCCATAGTCTTCGAATCATAATGACATTAGTGTCGAAACGTGTTTCTGCGGGCAGCAACAACTTCAACTTTGTCTTCGCCTCCAAAGCCTCGCGTGCGTGACTGTGACGCTTGAAGAACTTGGTGACAAGACGTGCCTGAGCAATGCGTGATGCAACCCAACCAATCGATCCAATGTCCTCCAGGCCGGGGTCCATGACATGTACCACGCAGGGATATGTTTGACGCTTTCGTCCTTTTGGAATGTCTCCATGGCGGACACGTTCACACTCATGGAATCCGTGAAGAATGTCGTGATGGCGCTGAGCTGGATATCGATGGTCTTCAGCCTCTGCAACCATGCCTTCGCCAACACTGCGGCATCCTTCTTCCCGCGCATAACATTTGTGGCAAGATATGCGGGTAGTACCGATAAGGTAGTTGCACAATGTTTGACCATCGATGTTTGTCCATCCATCTGTCATGATAGTACAACCAATCTGACGTGAAGTCTCGAGCATCGGCTTCACACACCGTTGAACATCTGCATCCAGCTCATCCAGCAACGTCGTGCGGACCAGGTGATAAGTCGGCGGTTTGGGCATTGGAGCCCCTGGGACCCCAGGAGGGATGATGGTCGTAAACCTACGCCTGAAGCTCTCAAGCTTCACGCAGTTAAACGGCATGCCGCTCTGCACGATGAACCACGTGATCGTCATGTGCCATGCATGCTCCCTCGGGTAGGAATAATATGAAGTCACTGCCTGGTGCTTGTATGTGCCCCTCCCTCGTGCGATCAGGCCACATTCACTACCGTCAAACAAACCAGCTGGACTCGCCGGTGTACCGCGATGTGGGAGTGGAATGTCGCGTCGCCGCTGTGGTGGATCCATATCCCCCCCCAGGACACCAGTGAATGCGGGGGCTGTCTCGGTCGTGGGAGTGGGCGAGAAATCAAATACTAGAGGCAGTGGGGGGGCGGGCGTGTCCTCTGCTGCCTGGGACGATGGTGGAAGCGAGTTAGTCGCAAGCAGAGGGGCAGCCAGACGTGGAGGACGAGGAGGAGACCACCGAGACGTGTGTGCCGCGGTCGTACCGCGGGTAGACGCAAGAGTAGATCCCGCTGGACTCGAAGCTCTGGTCGCGGCATTCGTGAACATAGGATGCAAGCCAGCCGAAGTGCCCAGGTTGCTGCCCCATGTACTGCCGTCGACGAACTGACGTGTGCAGAGCTCATCAAAGACACCACCACGCGCCGACGGAGAAACCGTCTGGCGGTCCAACGATGCAGTGGTAGGTCTAGTGCCCCCGCCCGTGGTAGATGCAACAACGGATGCCAGTGCATCAAATACCGCTGGCGATGGTCTCGTTGCCGCTGCCACCGGCATCACGTTCCCTCCATGGACCGCCGGTGGGAGTACTCCTGTCGATGATGCTCCCGCCACTTGTGGCATAACCGGTGCACCGCCTGCACCGCGAGACAATGTGTCAACCGGCCGTGCCCCACCATCAGGCGACGCACGAGGCTCCGAGTCCACTGGGAATGAAAGCGTCGACCACTAGAAGCACGGGTGACTGGGTGGAAGCCTCTTCAACTCCTCAATCGAGGCAACGGACTCTTTCAGACACTTCTCCATGCTCTTCCCACGGATGGTGTAATACACGGCCGAAGTCCCTACCGGACATCTGAATTCCTTGCTCTTGAAAAAATGCTCCTTCGCTTATCTACTTCCCCCACAAATGGATTTGCACACAATCTGCAAACACATCGACGACCACTCTTCCTCCCCACCTCCGTATCACCGTGCAAGTATCGGCCACGTGCAACAAAATGTTACACAAGGTCGTCGCGTTTCGTGTCAATAATCAGATCAATCTTGAACGGAAAGTCGAATGTCTTCGTGTTGTGTCCCTTTCTGGACCCAGTTTTGTTTGTCGTCGTGGCCGTGTCGGGACCAACATGTTCTTTACCAGTCCGCCGCGTCATGATGTCAGAACCGCAAAATATGACAGGATGTGGTCACGAAGCATGCTTGCATCACGAATGGCTTTAGTGAACCTCAACGGATGAACCGGCGGTGAAGCAGTGAAACTGGATGACAAGGACAAAACATGAAACGACAATGGCAAAACAAAAAACGATAAAAACAAAACAGCCAACCAGGGTCGGATCCCACATTTTCCATACCTTCACTTTCTGTCCCTCGAACCCTCCTATATGCCTTACCGCCCTAAAATCGATGGGGAAAAAAAAAAAAAAAATCAGTTAACACCCACCAATGTGCCTTACCGCCCCTACTACACCCCCAACCCCATTAACCAATGCATCCCCATAGGAGCACCACTTTTCAATAGGATAAAGAAGAAGAAAAAAAAAAAAAAAAAAAAAGTTCACCATAATCCGGAGTACCCCATCATTATTTGCAAGAGACCAAAACCACCTATGTGCCGTACCGCCCCTAGAACCCCCCTAGGGCCCCTACCCACATTAAGCAATGCATCCCTGCAAACCTCTAAATCTTTTCAATTAGGGAAAAAAAAAAAAAACCACAATTAACACCCACCTATGTGCCTTACCGCCCCTACTACCTCCCACCCCCATGACCAATGCATTCCCATAGGAGGACTTATTTTCTTTAGGGAAAAAAAATAAAAAATAAAAAAAATTCAATAATTACCACATTTCCACATCATTCATTTGCTAGAGACTTAAACCACCTATGTGTCATACCGCCCCTAGAACCCCCTTGGAGCCCCTACCCACACTAAGCAATGCATCCCCTGAAACCTCCAAATCTTTTCAATTAGAAAAAAAAAAAAAAAAAAAAATTAACAACCGCCTATGTGCCTCCCACCCCCATTCACAAATGCATTCCCATAAATGCACCTATTTTCTTTAGGGAAAAAAAAAAAAAAATCAGTTCACCAATTACTACATTTTCACATCTTTCATTTGCTAGAGACCCAAACCACCTATGTGCCGTACCGCCCCTAGAACCACCCTAGGACCCCTCCCCACATTAAGCAATGCATCCCCGAAAACCTTAAAATCTTTTCAATTAGAAAAAAGAAAGGAAAAAAAAAAACAGTTACCCCCCTACTACCCCCTACCCCCATTAACCAATGCATTCCCGTAGGAGCACCTATTTTTGTTAGGGAAAAAAAAACAAAAAACAGTTCACCATTTACCGCATTTCCACATCATTCATTTGCTAGAGACCCAAACGACCTATGTGCCGTACCGCCCCTAGACCCCCCCTAGGACCCTTACCCACGTTAAGCAATGCATCTCCAGGAACCTCCAAATCTTTTCATTTAGAAAAAAAAAAAAAAAAAAAACAGTTAACACCCACCTATATGCCTTACCGCCCCTACTACCCCCCACACCCATTAACCAATGCATTCCCATAGGAGCATCTATTTTTTTTAGGAAAAAAAAAAACAAAAAACAATTCATCAATTACCGCATTTTCACATCTTTCACTAGATAGAGACCCAAACCACCTATGTGCCGTACCGCCCCTAGAATCCCCCCCTAGGGCCCCTACCCACGTTAAGCAATGCATCCCCACCAAGGCCGCTACCTCAACAGCCACCAAGGCCAACTCTGCGTAGCAAAGTTTTCAGCCCTGTAATTCAAGGATTATCGGGGTGACGGTCGTACAGACCCAGAGTCAGTCCGCTGGGCTGATGGCAAGTCAGTAAACAATGTTAACTTCCGAGCAGGTCACCATCCAGCGAGCAAGCACTGCCGAGGCACAACTACAACAGGCATCGGATGAGATACGGGCAGAAAAAAAGAGGATGATCAGACGTAGATCTAGGATGCATTAGAGATAAGCGAACATAAGGGAGTTAAAGGTAATGGACCCGACAAACATGGATGGCGATGTAAGGATCATTAGGACAACCCTGCTAGATGTAGTCGAGATGCAGGAGTACCATACGTCTCTCTTGCAAGATATTAAGAGGAGCACGGTCGTGTCGGTCGGGCGAGTTCACATTACACCATCACTATCTGGACCAGGTCCCTGGCCCGTGGTACAACCTTCTCTTTTGTCCTACTGGTAACTAGAGTAGTCCAATTCATAGTTTTTTCGGCTTCAGTACAGGCCACTTCCCATCTGGTTATGCGTTTGATAGGCGGGTTCTCAACAAGTCCTAGTGTATAGATTGTTGTACAAACAATATTTTCCCAACCTCCGTTGCAGACTGCCGTAGTAGGGCAGCTTGTCGTCTCGCGGTCAGCACAACCACATGACACACAAGCCGAACACCTGCAAGTGCAGTTGTCTGCACCCCATGCCCAACAACCTGAAGTTATGCACGTAGTGGGACAAGGACAGTGGGTTCCAAAGACAGGCATCGCATCATCGAAACCCTTCTTATGTGGAAGTCGATAGGCATCCCATATTATATTCTTATGAGGACTATGTTGTCCGGCTTGTACATTTGTTTGACACTCGTTGCTATTATAAGTATATATTGTAGAATACGATTGGGGGAGATGAGTAGGAGATTGGTTGACGAGAGAGGGGGTTATGCCATTCTTCCACCTCCTCCTGAGTATGTCAATCATTCGTATGAAGCCGTGAGACAAACCTAGAGTTTTTCATTATTGGCATCACGAAAAGCCATGTATCACTACATGCAACTCCTATTACTACTTGGTTAAGCATCGGGCTAGGACACAATATTGGATTGTAGAACAATGCACTTCAGATCACACCCTGATAAAACAATGTCCCTTGTCTCTGTTTGCCCTTTGGATGATTTTTCTTAAGAAAATTGTTGGAAGGAGTAACAAAATAAAATTTAAGTTTGAAAAATGTATAGATTTTTTGATTGAGGGTGTTGATGATGAAAAAAATAACTTGTGGCGCATGATTTGCAGGCATGATGGCGGGACTAGAATAAATCGCTACACGAGATGCATTAAGTTCTCGTAAAGCTTCGGAGGCTAGCGATGTCATTGTAAGAGGGATTTTTTTAACCTACCCTTGAAACTTTTTATTGTTTCTAGATAGAGATCATGGAGGCAGAGTGATTTAGTTGTAATCTGTGTCATTGTCACTTTCATCGATGCTTGGTTATGATAACCATCTTCAACGAGTAGCGCATGTCAATCGTGTTTTACTTTAAGGAGGAGAGTTTGAGAGCGATCATTTTTCAAACAATGAGAATCTTGAAAATCAATCCCCTATTGGATTCCGTGAACCATTCATTCACAATGATTGATTTGACCATGAAAAGGAAAAAATTGATTCGTCGAAAGAATTAGCAACCGTTTTTTTTTCGTATAGAAATGAAATGGGTTTGACAGAGAAAGATATGACGGCACTGATTGCCGTCATTAAGAATCCGAAGTTTGATGTTTGTACTGTACAATATTCAAACGGTAAAGAATTGAACAAATGGATTGATGAACTGACAAGTAACGATGGATAGACTTCTGTTGATCTTCGGGAAGAAGATTGGTCAAAACAAGTTCATGTTGTAGTTCATCTTAGAAATTTGGAACAAACATTTCATGAATTGATCTCAAAAGCGAATAAAACATTAAAATAGAGATTTGTTCTTGAGTCGGTTCGTTCTGAAGATGATGTGATCAAAAGACCACAAACAGGATCGTTGTGGAGATCCCTTGAGGATGTGCGCGCAGAAAAAGATTTTGATCGATACATCCTGTCATTTTATTTGTTTTATGAGAAAACAACAATTGACGGACGACAACAGTGTCACGCATATCCGTTAATGATACCGCTTGCAGGTGCGCCAACAGAGACCCGTCTATTAGCATATTTGCCGCAAATTGATCACGTTCCTGGGATCGAGGGTCGGGGGAAAAATGCAACAGAGCTTCAAGCATTGAGAGTGAAAATGTTTCATCGTTCTATCGAGTTGGTGCTGAAAGATGCGAAGTTTGCAAGTCATGATGGCATTATGATCAAAACCTATGACGAAAAGTTTATCACTGTTCATCCAATTTTAATGAACTATATTCAAAACCATCAAGAACGAAGTTCGCTTGCATGCACGAAAAAGACTGTTTATTGTCCTTCATGCATAACACCAAAGAATGAATTTTCAAACGTATGAGTTATTTGCAATTCAGATCCGTTTACAAGATCTCGGTCAGAAATTGTAGACATAAAGATATTAAAATGAGTTCATGAACCTTTGACAGAAAATGAAGAAATCGAAGAAAACCGAAGACAAGGTATAGAGATTAGTGAAAAAAACGGCACACATGCTTCTGTCGCTATTAATGGGTTATGGGGATTTTATTGTGGTCCGGAAGATGAAAGAATTTCTGATGTCGACTATCATATGACACTTCCCCCCGATTTGATGCACACGATAGATCATGGGATTGTAGTACACATGTTCAATTGCATAAAAAACGTTTGTTACTAAAATGTCAAATGAGAGACAAAAAACTTGTTAGAGGATTTTGATTCTCGTATGTCTGCTATCGCAGATTTGGATTCATGTTATCCAGGATTTGTATTGCCGGTT